TTTAAGCACCCAGATTTTTCAAAGAAGTTTCATGCTAACGAATGTGTGCTCTGCCTAGGTACATATGTTATCTGACAAGAGATGCTGTTTTAAAGTCTTCCACATGTGTGGCAATTTTGGCAAAGTCAAATAAAAAATCAGAGATGAAGGATAGATAAATATATGTATAAATTTTTTCCCACCAGACAGGTTTTTTGTTTTTTTCCAGCTCAGATTATTGTTTGTTAGTGAAGATCTAACCTGCCCAGGTCTTTTTCAAAAGAAAATAGTTAATTTATATATTTATAACTGGGAAGAATATTTACCCTATACCTGTAGGTATCTGTGTAGTCACCTGAATGTTCCAGTAAGAATAGGAATTATTTTTCTGAAGAATCCACAGCTAGATTAGAAAGATAGTCTTGCTTTGACTGGTTTGTTTTAGTGGGATTTCACCTAAAGTCTCTGTGTCTCTCCCTCTCTCTCTCTCTCTCTCTCTCTCTCTCTCTCTCTCTCACTTACTCACTCATACACCCACATACTCATCCCTCCCTTATTCAGAAAATGTTCCAACTAATGACACTATCTTAATAGCATTATCTCAGTTTTTCTTGAGATATGTAATTCTTTTGATTTTTGTGCCTGTAGAAAATTGGGGATGAGCTCAAAAGTATTCAAAACTTTTTTAAATAGGTTATTTTATCTGATGCAAGTGCTCCTGGTGAAGGAGAACATAAAATCATGGATTACATTAGGAGACAAAGAGGTGAGTTTTAAATATAAGTGTTTGATTATATGTTCTGTTTTTTAAAAGCCATCAAATAGAAAATATTTGGAAAGATGGGATGTTCCTATGGTACATAATGTATTTATATATGTCTGTCTTCTCTTTAGCCCAGCCTAACCATGATCCCAATACTCATCATTGTTTATGTGGAGCAGATGGTAAGTTTCTTCTTTGGGATTTGTTTCTCTTGGATTAAGCCACAACAAATTGTTGGGTTGGTGTGCAGTGATGAAATTATTCATAGTTGCATGGAGATTCTAAAGTCCCTTGCTTATTTTTTGTTTCAGAGGGAACTAGTATTGAGTTGCTGTATTATCTGTGATCAGTGATCCCCTGTCTTTAATTTTTTAAAATGTTTTTCAGCCTCTTAATTTAATTGCCCATACTTTTAAAATGGAAGCTGTCTCTAGTGTTTCATCCTGGATGGTAGTCTGTGTTGTGGTCCATGAATCGGAGGACTTCTTGTTGATGGAGGACTGCCAGGAAGTTTTAGACTTTGGGGCTTTACTGCCTCTGTACACTCACCTGGGCTTTTCTTTGTGTTAGAGTCTTGTAGCATTTTGGGTATGGTAAGGATCTTTTCAGAGTGCTTAATGTTCAGTGTATTTCTCGTTGTTGATTGATAGCTGATCTCATTATGCTTGGCCTTGCCACACATGAGCCCAACTTTACCATTATTAGAGAAGAATTCAAACCAAACAAGCCTAAACCATGTGGTCTTTGTAATCAGTTTGGACATGATGTCAAGGATTGTGAAGGTTTACCAAGAGAGAAGAAGGGAAAGGTAAGAATTTTGAGATGGTAGTTGTCTTATCTTTAAAAAAATATTTTATTATTATTTTAAAATACACATAACATAAAATATACCATTTTAACCATTTTAAGTATACAGTTAAATAGCATGAATATATTCAAGTTGCCTCATTTTTAAAATCGGTGAGATTGTGGTTGATTAGATTTTCTACTTGCTTGTTCTGTTACCCCTCATAGGAACATAGCTTTTAAAGCACTTTAAAAGAAACCCACCTTCAGAAGTTTGCACATGCTCATTCTTTCTGCTTTGTCCTTTGCTAACATAGCCTATATCTACATGTGGCTTGGCTTTTTTACATAAAATTACATGCCATTGCATGTAATTTGTTTGTAGAAATTAGTTTCAAATGGTTACTCTTCTTAAAAGGAACTACAAATCAAACTTCTTGACACTTTTAAGTTACTCCCAGTTTCTATGTATTTTGGATTCACTTGGTTATGTCTGGTCTTTTTAAGGGGGCTTCTCTTTTAAGAATGTTGTGCCACTTGCGTCATACACTTTATGGGGAAAATAAAAAAGAATGTGATGCTTCTTTCAAAGATAGTGTTGAGTGGAAAAAGAGCATAAGTATAATGTACTCTATGATTTCAGATAGCCAGTATGCATACAGGAAAGACAATGCACATAGTTCTATGCACACACGTTCACAGAGAGAGAGAGTGCTGTTGCTTGGTTGCAGGCCAGGAGTTGACACACTACAGTCCTCCAGATCTGGCCCATGAGCTAAGAATATTTTTTATGTTTTTAAAGAATTGTAGAAACAAAATAAAACATGAAAGGATATTCAACAGAGACCGTATGTATCCCCCCGCCCCGAGACCAAAATAATTTGCTATCTGGCCCTTTGCAGAAAATGTTTGCTGACCCTTGGTCTAGATGTGATTGGGTTTATGGGTGCGTTTTATTTTAAAATAGTTTGGTGGGTTTTTTTTAAACTTAATGCTCAATGCACAATATTAAAATGGATTTTGCTTTAGAAAAAACCTTAAAATTTGCTTGGTTAGGAAAAACACTAGAGGCTTTAGAATAACCTTGTTTCAACCTCATTCCCATTCTTGCAGCATGATGAGCTTGCAGATAGTCTTCCTTGTGCAGAAGGAGAGTTTATCTTCCTTCGGCTCAATGTTCTTCGTGAGGTATGTAGCGGTATTCACTGGAGTGGGCTCTCTATAGCAGGTGTCTTGGGTGGCTTTAATGGCAGCATTCCTTTTTGGTTGTAGTACTTGGAACGAGAACTCACCATGGCCAGTCTACCTTTCACATTTGATGTCGAGAGGAGCATTGACGACTGGGTCTTCATGTGCTTCTTTGTGGGAAATGACTTCCTTCCTCATTTGCCATCATTAGAGATTAGGTATGTGTATTTGTATGGTTTTTCAAACTCTTGTTTTGGCCTTCTTGACTTTGCAGTGCCCACTGGTCCTAATGCATAATGTTTGTCTCCTGGTGGCAGGGAAGGTGCAATTGACCGTTTGGTTAACATATACAAAAATGTGGTACACAAAACTGGGGTAAGTTCACTCTTGAATAATTTCAAAACACAAGTATATTCTTTTATAAGAAGATCATTTTACATGTATTTTATCACTTACAGGGTTACCTTACAGAAAGTGGTTATGTCAATCTGCAAAGAGTACAGATGATCATGTTAGCAGTTGGTGAAGTTGAGGATAGCATTTTTAAAAAGAGAAAGGATGATGAGGTAAAGTGTTTCTATTGCAGTAGCTAAAATCGCTCCTGTCTCTAATAGGCTATGATGAACCTGTGATTGTACTTTTAACCTCTTTGAGTGCGTTGTTATATTGTTATGGTGTATCAGCACTAATGTAATCATGAGTGGTCAGTGCTTTGATTATTTTATAAAGGTTGTGCTGCTTGCTGTGTGGAACTGTGTATTGCACACTGTCTGCATTGTAATTTTTTTCCTCTCTCCATAAACTTAAATTAGGGTATAAATTCAAATACTTGTCTAATCAGTAGTCTGTGAAATGAGAATTCCAAGGCTAGCAGACTGCTGGAATTGAGCTAGTGGCTGCCATGTTTTATAGGCAGAAAGATAAGACCTATACTCAGCTGTTGCATGTAGGGTGTCTGGGTTGGGTTGTATCAGCCAGGGCATAAGATTGGGAGAGCTTGGAATCTGTGGAGGGCTGCAACTCTTAAGTAAGAAATTGAAACACAAGAAGGAAGTAAAATAACAAAGCATTTGAAAATTGTATATATTGAGTTAGTACTAACACAGAAGCCTGTGTTTCTGGCTTGGGCATTTAGGAGTCTGCGGGTGCCATTCACTAAGCTAGCAAACCCTAGGGTTGGAATGGGTTGAGGTGGAGACAAGGTGGAAATTGAGTTTCATTTTGGAGATAGTGTGTTTATGAGAGGTTACAGGACACCTGGGAGGAGAAAAGTCTGCTAAGCAGTTGGATGGATGGTTGTAAAACTCATGGCAGGAATCTTTTGAGAAGATGTTTGAGAACTGTCGTTAGCTGATGGGATATTCTTGAAACCATGAGTGTGAACTTGAATTTCCTGGGAGTGAAAGTACCTCTGATAGAAGCCTAGGGAAGCATGGAAAGAGGAGCCAGTTCTAGAGAGGTGGAAGGAAGTTACTAAAGAGAGGAGAAGTCATTGACGCTGCCTGAGGAGTCAGAGTGAGATGGATAGGCACCTAGTGGGAGGCTGTGGGGAACTGGTGGAAGTAGAGGGGTGGGCAGCAGCCTGGAGGCAGAGTGGGCTAGAGGGTGATTGAGGGACATGGCAAAGGAGGCCAGCAGTGGGCTAAAGGAGCAGACAGTAGCTTCTTCGAAACAAAGTGAGGGAAAACCTTTCAGAAACTGATTTTTATAAAAGACTGTATGGCTATTTTAAGCAAATAATGTAAGAATATTGCCACATTGCTTCATGATCTCCCAACAGATGAAACCATGTCATTGAATCTAACATAGTTTTCCATTTTCTTCAACTTTGTGTACTGTAACTGGTGAACTCTTATTTTTAGAACTTGGGGCATCATTTGATGTAACATAGTGAGTTGACTATAAGCGTTCTTTCCAAAAGCCTTCAGTACTTGCACTATTTTTCTGTAATGGCAAGAATTTCACATATGAAATCAAACTGCAGAACTGGTTTTGTTTGCAAGGATCAAATGTCTACTGGCATAGCCATTTTAAACTAAGTTTTCAATAGTTAGAGTGGTTTCCCTTTACACCTAACAGAAAACTTGATAGTGTAATACTTTATAGTATATTATACTATAATATGTCTTTGACAGACTCTGTACCACTAAATATTGGTGATAAGTTGGCAACAGAGGAGGAAGTGTAGAATTTTATAGATACTGTAGTGTTGCAGATTTAATTAATATGGTTTCCACCTGACCCAGTGAAAAGGACGTTTTAAAACTTTGGATCTTTTTTGATATACCTGAAGTCTGTGATGTCTTTCAGCATGGTTGGACATCATAGGAAACCCTGAAAAATGGAATAGGAAAGTTTCTGAGTGTATATTTTTTTTTTAGGAAGCGTGTCTGTGGTTTTTGACAGATTTCCAAGGGAGTTCATAGCACAAAAAGGATTAGGGGTCAATAAACTCCACCTACATGGTTTTCTGTCCTTTTATGTGTAACTACCACCCTTAGAAATTGGGATTTAACAGACCAGCAGAACAAATGGTAGAAAAGGAATACATCGACATCATGTATTAACACTGTGTATTGATGCTATTAAAAAGTGAGCATTTAGGTCAGAAATGTGGTACTTTTTATCTTTTGAGCTTTGATGTTTGCCTTTTATCTTGTACAAATGTTGTTCATGTATTCAGCAAATATTTGTTAAGTGTTTACCACACACAAGATAGTGTTCTGAGTGCTAGTGATACCGCATGAAACCATATGAATTTCTGTCCTCACGGAGCTTACATTCTGCTCTGGGAGCTGGACAGTAAACACAGTAGCTAAGTAAACCTCATGCTGAAGAAAAAAAAGCAGGTGAGGGAGCATCTGGGAAGGTGGAGATGGGGAGAGTGCGATTCTAGAAAAGGTGATCAGAGAAGGCCTCACTGGCAGATGCCCTTAAATAAAGACCAGAAGAATGTGAAGGAGTATGCCATGGAGATGTTGGCAGGAAGAGCATTTCTGACAGAGGGAATCACTGTGCCAGCAGGGAGCCAGTGTGGCAGGAGCAAGGAAGCAAGGAGACCGCAGTGGGAGATGAGGGCAAGAAGAGCATTGGAGGGCCCAACCTGGTAGGACCCTGCAGGTTGTTACAAGGATTGTAGCTTTCTGTCTGCATCAATAGAGGGATTTGAGAAGAGTGGTGAGATGGGACACATTATAAAAGGAGTACTCTAGCTACTGTGTTGAGACTAACTGTGGAGGAAAGGGTCTAAGCAGTGGTGAGCTCAATGATGAGACTTTTTGCACTAATCCAAGGAACGTGGCTGGTGGCTGTGGAGATGATAAGATGAGTTGTGAACATACTTTGAAGGTAGAACCAATGAGATTGGCTACTCTATTAAATGCAAGGTCTGAGAGAAGGATAGGCATCAATAGAGACTGAAAGGTGTTCTGAACAACTTCATTAGGAAAAGACTGGGAAGTGCAGTCTTTGGACTGCATTTTGGACAGATGAAGTTTGAAATAGCCAGATGGAGGTGTTGAGTGGGGAGAGGCCCTGGTTGGAGAGTCATCAGCATCAGATGCTGTTTAAAGTCATGAAACCAGGCAAGAGCTCCATGGGAGAAGAGAAGTGGAGAGGCCCAAGCACTGGGCCCAGGGGAGCATCACCATGAATAGGCTGGGGAGGGGTGGAGCAAGACATGTATCAGGAGGGAAGGAGGAGAACCAGGTGCGTGTGGTGTCCTGGAGGCCAAGCGAGTGTGTGATCCAAGGAGGAAAGAGACTTGGTCAGATGAGGACTGAAAGCTGACTAGTGGATTTCACAGTCTGCAAGGCACCAGTGACTTAGATAAGAGAAGTTTTATCGCAGATGGAGGCAGAGCTTGAGGAAAGAAATCAGTGGTTTCCTCATCATGGAAGGTTTTAGGGTTAATTTCCTGTGCTCCACTTCAGAGCAGCAGGCTTATGTAGCCACAGTTCAGCTTCTCTTCTGGCAGAAAGCATCAGTTTCAGATCTCATTAAGGTGTTAGATCACATTTGATAGGACTGGCTTGAAAGGCACAGAAGTGCAGCTACTAGGATGACCATCAGTATAGTGCCTGCTGGCCTCTTCCTAGGCCACATCAGCAACTATGGCCACTTTAGCTGTCATTTTGGTGCCTTGATACTCAGGGCAACTTGGACATGGGCATGGGAAGCCTTTGAATGGCTTAGAGTTAGTGGGAAACAAGATGAACCCCAAGTCCTGTCTAGTTGAAACCATGGCTACATGTTGAAAGTGAGTGGAGGGGAAGAATCAATGTGGCCTGGAGCCCTTCCTGCCAACTAGATTGACCCTGAGTAAGCAATGTGTGCATCTGAGTTTCCTTCCTTTATTCCATTGGACTGATGTTTCTGGAAACCGACGGGGTGGTGTTGCAGTGTCCCACTTCTTTCTTCTTGTGCCGTGAATGCCACAGGGCTAGGAACTGTCAGGCCCTTTTTAGGCTTGGCAGGTAACAATCTCATTAAATTGTCTTGTTGATTTTTTTTTAAAAAGTTGATATCTTAGTTTATTATCTCCATTCAGCTAAAACTCAAGAATTGTTGTTTTCTTACTTATATCTTCTCCATGTTGACAACCTGCTTGCTCCAAGATAAAACAAAGGGTCTTTGTAATGTCTCTTGCATTTCCTGAAATGATATCAAAAGCTATCTGAAAAAAATTAGAACAATTAAATTGTATTTTAATTCTGTCTCTTTATCATTCTAATGTTCTGATAAGTAACAACTTTGAACATATAGTCCATTGCCTAGAATAATCATGTACCTAGATTTCTGGGATCTTCCTTTAAAACTTAAATTGTCTCCCGAGTTATTCCTGGTAATGTTTAACTCTGACATTTTTGTGTAATTATTTGACAGAATATGTGGATTTTATACTTTTAGGACAGTTTTAGAAGACGTCAGAAAGAAAAAAGAAAGAGAATGAAGGTGAGTTGTAATTAATTTCATGAGATTGGCAGTAGCATAAGCTTATAATTTGTGAGGAAGATATTCATCACCGTAGCTTTTATTCCCTATCTAGTGGAGAGTTGGTCAGTGACATAAATTTGCACCCAACTGCCTTCTCACCTTATAAAGAAACTTTTTCTAAGCTCTGGAGTCTGAAGGGATCCGTCCAACCAGGGGCGGGAGGTGGGAGGTAGGTGGCACTTAGCTATTTGAATTGTTTCCAACAATTAGGTATTGTATTCTAATAAAAAATTGTCAACCCTTTGTGTCCTCTTGAAAGTTACTATGCTGTGCTATTCTGTCTTTGTCAAATTAATTATCCTAGAAGACAACAGTCTAAACTTTGTCGCTTCTCTGCTCCAAAATCACCAGTGACTTCTTAGTCCCCTCAGACTTAGAATCCAATTCTGTTTGAGTGTGGCATTCAGAACACACTATGAGCTGGTCAAATTCCAGCCACCTGGTCTCTCCCCTGTTGTCTTCTAAATACCCCATGTGGACTGGGCATGGTGGCTCAGCCTGTAATCCCAGCACTTTGGGAGGCTGAGGAGAGAGGATTGCCAGAGCCCTGGGGTTTGAGACCAGCCTCTTAGTGAGACCTTGTCTCTATAATAAAAATCACAAAAGAACTAGCCAGGCGTGATGGCATGCATCTGTAGTTCCAGTCACTTGGAAGGCTGAGACAGAAGGCCTTACCCCAGCAGGTCGAGGTTGCAGTGGTTGTGACTGTGTCACTGCACTCCAGCCTGGGCGACGAGTGAGACTCTAACTCAAAAATAAATAATAAATAAATACCCCATGTGCCTGCTGACACAGTGTGGCTTTTATTTGATACCTCTAAATGAATTTCTGCTGTATGACTCACTCACAGCTTGCCCTTCCCACAATCCTTCTCTTGTTGGTTCTGCTCATTGTACAGGTTGAGCAGTCCTTTCTCTTAACTCTGCTTCCTGCCTATGATATTTGATTTCTTAGTTAATTGTATAGTACCCTGTAGTCATTTAATATCTTCAGCTTTTGTTTTTCTTGTTTTCCATACTGGATTTTCAAATTTATGGAATTTAGGGACTGCCCTTTAGTATTATGTTTTATTAGAATTAAGAGATTTCAGGTATTAAGAAGGGGGAAAAGTCGAGTTGTTTATTGTTGCAGGTAAGACCGAAACCATTGAGATTGGGTGGAGCCTATTTTCTTTCTACTCACGTATTATTATTTTCTTTCAGTCAATATCTTGTGTCAGTCAGCCAAAAAAGACTATCAGCTATTACAGCTATAAACATATCTCTATTAACTGGAAATAAAGAGTTAAATCCTATTAAAGTGAAGGGTAAATAAAAGATGTATTTCTTAAGTGTAACTCAAACTTGACTTATTTTTTGCCTTAATTGTAATATTATTTTTACTTGCCTGAAATTGTATCTTAAATGTTTAATGAAATTATAAGCAAGCAACAGATTAGCATAATGAGACTCGAATAGATTCTGTCTGCGTGTCAGGACAGTGTATTATATGTACTTTCAGGGCAGGGTTATGAAGTATTACATACTGTTGAGAGTCTAAGTTACCATCACATCAAAGTGTTGACAACCCTGTAATTCTAATAGAAGTCTATTTGGTCTTTCAGTAAGTTTAGTAAAGCACTTATAGTGATTACCTCTTTCCTTTCTGTCATCTGTGTTGTTGCGATTTAATTGTAATTTCTACATTCATTTCCATTTATGTCAGAGAGATCAACCAGCTTTCACTCCTAGTGGAATATTAACCCCTCATGCCTTGGGTTCAAGAAATTCGCCAGGTTCTCAAGTAGCCAGTAATCCGAGACAAGCAGCCTACGAAATGAGGATGCAGAATAACTCTGTAAGTGGCTGACTTTCATGGGCATTGAAGAGGGTGAATGTCAGATGCCTCTTGCAATTGTGTGCTTGTGTGAATTTCATCATGGCCTGGAGTCATTTTGTTTTATAGTTTTTCTCAATTTCTTTGCCTTGACTCTGTTAAATATGTCTTTATCAATATGAAAATATCTAAATAAAATGAAAGAAAAGACACATGTGACTATAAAAAGAGAGCGAGACATCTGCAGTGTTTTCATGATGCAGATGGTTGCAGCTCTTCCTGTCCCCCAGGTTGCACAGTGGTGGATGGTGCTAGAAGCATGTCGGGGACATCCATGTGTCTCATAGTTGGGGCAAGAGCAGGAGGGTGGGTTTTGCTCCCTATTTCCTCTTGCCTAGCAGGGGTCAGTTATGGTTGTTTTGCAAAATAGCATTTATCAGGCATAAACTCCCTCTCCATTCAGGCATGGAATAAATCTGTGTTAGTATTTTAAGGGATCCTCACTGCCCACGGTCTGGTTGCCCCCTGTTTGTGAACTCAGGAATTGGACGAATTTGTCTCATGGTATCCCTCCTTGTTTGAACTTTGTCATCCAAACTGCAGAAGCAAATCAACCTACCCAGCAGGGCAGTGCTCTGTCCACTGGCTTCCTGTTGTGGTGGCCACAGACCCTGATCTCTCAGGGCATGCAGAGTGGCAGCAGCAGGGGCAGGGGAGGAAGGAAGGCTGCCATTGCGGTTCAGTGTCGTATGTACTCTTCTGTGTTACATCCAGTGAAGCTGCATGCACCTGGATGTTGAAATTGCATTATTCTAATAGTTACCCACTTGATGCGCATATCCCTTCACACAGGGCAGCCCCATGTGTAGAATTCAACTTGTATTCACAAAAACTCACAACTAGCACTTTAGGACCTTAGATTTGGAATTTGGAAACTGAGGTTTTGCACCTTCTGAGAGAAGCAACGGGGGTTTCTGTTGTGTTTTGTTCTATTTGATTTTTGTTTTCTTGTCCCACTAACAGTGGAGATGTGGAAGGTCAGGGAAAGGGGTTGCAATGAGACACCCGAGCAGAATATAAAAGGCTGCTGCCCATCATTCCAGATTATAGTGACTGCAGTCCCTGTAGAGCAGAACTGAGAGCAGAACCCGTTCTTATATGTCTTGCTGTTGATAGAATGTTTTGTTCTTGATCTTGGGGAGGTAAGGAGCTTTAAACTTTGCCAGCTGTGCTTGATTAGAGAAGGATTCCAGTATTATATTCAGACTCTGTGGGACTTGACCCACAGGACTAGACTGTTGATCACTAAATTCTTGAATGGAGTAGGAATTGGGAGATTGGTGATTAGATTGCTTATATTTGATCCTGTCTTAACCCCTCTTGACACAATTATTTCTGTATAGAGAAGTTATGGAATTGAAGTCTTTACATAGTGGGATATTCACCTAGAGTGTATTGACCTTAAGGATATCGTGAAGTCAAATTACCAATTCATCTAAAGGGAGCCATTGATGTTATGGATTTTTGCTATTTTATTTTTTCTGAGCTGTTAGGGGTAGTTGTAGTCTTTGGTACTTGTCTTCTGACAGTCAACATTGTTTTTATTAAATTGTTTCTGTTTCCTCATATATGTAGTTTTCAATTTTGTATTCTGTGGTATGGTTTTACTATATCAAAGGCCATCTTCAGTATAAAAGAATTCGGTTTTGAGTTGGAGTTTCTCTCTGTCGCCCAGGCTGGAGTATGGTGGCATAGTCACGGCTCACTGCAACCTCGACCACCTGGGCTCAGGCGATACTTCCACTTCATTCTCCCAAGTAGCTGGGACTGCAGGTGTGTACCAGTACACCTGGCTAATTTTATGGGGGTTTTTTTTGTTTTTTTTTTGTAGAGACGAGGTCTCGGTATGTTGCCCAGGCTGGTCTCGAACTCATAGGCTCAAGCTATCCTTCTGTCTTGGCTTCCCAAAGTTCTGGAATTACAGGCATGAGCTACTGTGCCTGGCCTATAAAAACAACTTTTTAAAACGAAATTTGAATGAATTTATATGATTCTGATAGGTTCAGAAAATGATACTTTAGTTGGTAGAGGCAGAGCAATAGAGATTTAGCATTAAATGGTAAGCAGCTTTTCTGTTTTCTTTAAAGTATTTTATTTTGTTTTCTAAAGATGGATTTATATTTTGTTAGTCAAGAATCACTTGGAGAAAGTTTGCTTTTTCACAGCTTCTCTGTACTTAGTTGATAGGAATGCCACCCTCATAATTTAATCCAAATGGATTAGTGTAGAGTTAAAAAGCAATAGTGATTACTTACTAATTGTTTGACCACCATGTGCCAGCAGGCAACATGCGAGCAATCTTTAACGTATATTTTTTGTTTAATCCTTGCAATAACCTGTAAGGAAATAGAACATTATTATCCTTATTCTAATATGAGGCTCACAGAGGTTAAGTGAATTGCTCAAAGTCAGACAGCCATAAAGTTTGTCTGACTTAAAATACATGCCTCAGCCGGGCTCGGTGGCTCAGCCTGTAATCCCGTGCCTTTGGGAGGCTGAGGTGAGTGGATTGCCTGAGCCCGTGGGTTCGAGACCCGCCTGGGCAACTTGGCGTAGACCTCATCTCTGCTGGAGACCGAGTGAGACTTTAACTCAAAAAAAAAAAAAAATACATGCCTCATTTTCCAAGTATAACAGTGCCTTCCTGTATTTATTTTTATTTATTTATTTTTGAAGTTTTGTTTATATATTTTCACAAATAAAATTGGCATTGTACATTTTTAAAAGGGACGTGCTCTCAGCTCTATATGAAATATAATTTTGCTTTGTTTTAACTTTTTTTGGCCTATGATGTGAACTGCCTTCATGCTATGGATGCTATAACTAATTATAGTATCATTAATATAGCCTTCTGAGCTTTACTTTTTTTTTTTTTTTTTTTTGTAGTTAAAGTCTCACTGGGTCGCCCAGACTGGAGTGCAGTGGCCGCTCCCGGCCACTGCAGCCTCGCCTGCTGGGCTCCAGCGATCCTTCCGCCTCAGCCTTCCGAGTAGCCGGAATTACAGGCATGCGCTACCATGCCCGGCTGATTTTTTGATTTATTGTAGAGATAAGGTCTCGCTTTACATTTTAAAATAATTCTGTTTACTTGGAATATCTAATATCCTGTGAATAACAGAGGGAACACTTTACTGTGAAAAACATTTCTGCCACTTAGGTTTTTGATGATTTGGTCATTTATCTCGAATTACTAAAGTTACAGATGATTTTATTTTAATTTTTAAATTAAATTTTTTTTTTCAGTTGGAGTCTCACTCTGTTGTCCAGGCTGGAGTGCAATGGCACACTCATGGCCACCCCAGTGTTGACCTGCTGGTCTCCAGTGATCCTTCCTCCTCAGCCTTCCAAGTAGCTGGAACCACAGTTCACACTATCATGCCCAGCTAATTTTTTATTTATTATAGACACAGGGTCTCTCTAAGTTGCCTGGGCTGGTTTAAATCAAATATTAAAATATTTTAGGACCCTATTATGTTAATTAAGTACGAGAGAAGAGAGTACTACATTTAAAGTGACAGCCAAGTCTTTGAAATACTAATAAAATCTGGATTTTTCTATGATGATTATTAATGAATTTTTATTTATACATTGAATTTTAAAGGAGAACATATAAGATAATTTAACACTTAATCTGGCAGAGTCTCATTAAACTTGCTTTCTAGAATGGTTGTACTAAGTTGAACACTTACTATTTAACTGCATTCTCAGAGCACTATTTTATACATTTCCATATATATTATTATATGTACATTTATTGTATATATTGTCTATTTTATTATATATTATCTGTATAATAATACATTTATGTATTTATATTTCTTACATATGTATCATACATTTATTGTACATTTTATATGTATGTGTTTTTTCCCCCTCTTAGCTTTGCTATTTCATAGGTGAACTGTTGTTGGGAATTCCTAAGATGAGGAAACCACCAAAGAAAAACAATTCAAGCCCCATAATTGAAATAACTGTGAAATTGAATTTTTCTTTTTTCCCCAATATTGTTAATTCTTATTCATTCGTTCATTCATTTATTTTTGTGTCAGTGTTTTGCTCTGTTGCCCAGGCTGGAGTGCAGTGGCGTGATCATAGCTCCATGCAGCCTCAAGCTCCTGGGCTCAAATGATCGTCCCACCTCATACTCCTGAATAGCTGGGACTGCAGGCACATATGCCACTATACTCGGCTAATTTTTAACATTTTCTGTAGAGACAGAGTCTCACTATGTTGTCCAGGCTGGTCTCGAACTCGCGGCCTCAAGCAATCCTTCTGCTTTAGGCTCCCAAAGTGCTGGGATTAAAGTGTGAACCACCATGCCTGGCCTTGTTAATTCTTTTGAGTTTAAGCATAGGAAGTTTGAGTACTTATTTTTTTGGAGGGGTGGAATGAAATAAGGACAGTCTTTGTACTTTCTAAATATATTTACCATATGTATTTCATAGCTTTAAAAAATGTATAACCATGAAGCATAGTAGATAATGGTGGTTGGATGTGCCTTCTTCTGTAAAATGAATAATGAAATCCTTCTGTAATGTTGTAATTGTCTGCAGAGTCCTTCAGTGTCTCCAAATACAAGTTTTACATCTGATGGCTCCCCATCTCCAATAGGAATTAAGCGAAAAGCAGAAGACAGTGACAGTGAACCTGAGCCAGAGGATAACGTCAGGTGAAGCCATTTTTTGGTAGCACTTTGTTAGCAAATTACTGAAATAGATGCAGCCTAATTAATGCTATTTTGCTCAGAGCAGCAGGGCCTTCAGATACTTGCCTGTGATCTTTTTATCCACCAGTAATTAATGTGGAGGGTTGCAAAAGTCAGTAAATTCCAGTGAGATGTGTGAGCTATATCTGTTAAACCCAAGTATCTAGATTAGTATGCGTGCAGGTTTTCGTCCTCCAAGCCACTTTTCCCTCTGAGACCAGGCACTAGATCAGCTAGACATGGGGTGTTTAGCTCTATGTGATCTGAATGTTACTGTTTGGAGATTAAATTTTCAAGCTACTTAACTTAGAACGTTCAGTTACACTTGGACACTTAATACAGTTTGCTTTAATCTTCTCAGTTGAAAAAGTTCTTCCTCAAAATGAGATATGCAAAAATCATTCTAATATGTCTATTTTTTAAAAAACACAAAATTGCACATGCACAATTATATTTCATGACAGAGGAGTTTCACTTTATACTAAAAAATATATAGCAGGAAAATTTGAATCCTTGATTGATCCTGAAGTTTGAGACCATTATATATTAAGATTAACAGCCTCTCATGTAATTAAGTCCAGATTTGAATCTTGGGCTCCAAGTGCAAAAGGCCAACAATCTCAATAATTGTAGCTCATTAAGAATCTGGGAAAATAATTTATTCAAAGGCAGACAAGACCATCGGTGCCTACAGCGCATGCTTCTTTTATAGGACGTGGAAAGTATGTGGCTTGTGTTTATGATCAGAAACTTCAGGAGGGATTTGTATGGGTCTGCATTGTGCTAACATCCTTTGATGTCAAATTCATGTCTGCTTGTGATTGAACATTTATCTTGTCTGCCTCTAGCTTCTATCCTTTACTTCTGTACTCTGGATTTTCCTCTTACAGCGTTCTTTCTGTTTAGTTTGTTTACTGTGTAGTCAGGATCAATACTTGATGTGTTTAGTATTTTATTGTTTAATCCTGGGCTGAGAATAATCAAGGTAGAAATGCTCCTACCAAGAAATGCTTGGGGTCTTTAGCATTTATTTCATTCATATTTTCTGCAAAATAGTGATAATCCACATTATGGAATAGAGGATATTTCTTGTAATTGCTGTTCTATGAGTCCTTTGTGTGGAAAGGGATTAAAATCAGCATGGTGTATTATTCTGAAACATGATTTCAATTAATATGTGCAATCCAGTGTATGTGGGGAAGAGTCCTTAGTGGGGAATCATCTTGATGTTCCTGATCTGCACTGATTTTTTTCAGTGTTATTTGTCATCTTTGTTTTCTTAAATAGCATGTTTAAGTTTTTTTAGAGAGTGAGAAATGAGCTCTTTAAAAAAACACATACTTTGAGTGAAAACATGGTTCTTCACATTGTATTTTCAGAGATTAATGGTAAGTTAGTGAGTTAGTTGACCTGCTTCTAGGTTTTACCAGAACATACACATGTGTATGTATGTATCTATGTGTAAGACACATGTGTATATATGTATCTATGTGTACATAGATACATATAGAAATATGGACTGTGTATCTTTCTCTATATATTTCTACCTTCTTCCCTTAAGTCATCAACAGTTTTTAGCTGGAAGGAAGAATAAGATCCAAGCAAGGATAGAGAGTGTAGGTGTACACATATTTTCTGCCTGGTTTACAAGTTATTCTTTTGTAAGCCACTTCTTAACATTTAAAACAAATACCTGTTCAAATCTTCTTTAAAAAGTAATTTAGTTGACTTTCTTTCTGTAATTCTGTAATTTAAATATATTTTACCAAACCTAGGAACTTGAACTATATAAAATATTTTCAGTATTTGAATCTTAAGATACAGTTTTAGAATTGTATAATTTTAAAAAAACAGGTAAAGCAATATTAAAATTTGAGCAAACAGGTGTTCCGTATCTACTTGAATAAATTCTTTTAAGATATAGTTTTATAATATGTTTACCAGAATCAGCGTTTGGATTTTTAAAGTTTATCTGTCTTTAAGTTTGTAAAAATCCTATGAAAGTAGACTTTTTAAAGAAATAATTAAATGCATCTATTTAACATTACTGTTTAACTCATTTAACTCATTAAACATTTCCCCTCGATGTTAAATATAAATTGATTTGTGATATAAGTTGGTAGTCTGTCTATTACAGACAGTGTATGAAGTCAACATAAAATGACTTTGCTGGGTTTTAGGTTATGGGAAGCTGGTTGGAAGCAGCGGTACTACAAAAACAAATTTGATGTGGATGCGGCTGATGAGAAATTTCGTCGTAAAGTTGTACAGTCTTACGTTGAAGGACTTTGCTGGGTTCTTCGATATTATTACCAGGTGCAGAAAGAATATTTTTCTGTAAATCTGTGGCTAATTATTTTAGAAAACTAGTAATTTTCATAGTAATAGGTATTAGTGAGCTGTATCCTGAAATTTTTTTAAGCTTCCTTTTTAGAAATTTATAATCGTAAATAATAGTAGGAGACTTTGAAGCTTAATGTGTATATATATAAAGAAAACTAATTTTTGTTCAAGGATTTTCAGTGTCAAGTAGCGTGGTTAATTGTACTTTGTCTTTAAGATGATTAAAGTTTTGTGTTTTTAAATTGGAATTTTAAAATAACTGGATAATTGACAGTTACTAAATGATGAAACAAGGATAAAGCCTAGAAAATATAAATAAGTTACCATAGTGTCTGCAGAAAGAAGAAAAAATATATCAATAAGAATTTAAAAGGAATTTGAATGATATCTTGTCCATCATGTAGTGGTGTTGTGTGAAGTGCATTCTATTTAGAGTAATCCGTATCTGTACCTTTTGGTAATGGTGATGTCAGATTGGTGAGATTAGGTAGACATATTAGGAATTGTAGTGCTGATAGGTAATATCTGGTTTCATGCTTAGAGAGCAAACCAAGCTAAATCTGGTATGACCAGGTAATATATGAAATTTTGTTGGTAAGTAGAAAATAACAGCACACCAAGTATTGATTATAAAATACTCTATCTGCATCTTTTACGCCTATCAGGTTTTAATTCACTGGTGACAAAGTCAAAACACAATGTCGAAAGACATCTCTTTCTTTGAGTATAACTTGCTTTTTTGGGGTGTGTTTAGTAAAATATTTTTATAGTCTAGAGAAAGTTTTGTCACGTGAAAGTATAATGGTGAGTTGTAAAATGAAACTTTTGGCCATTTACTCTCAACCATTGCTCAGTAATGTCATACCTCCATGGACAGTTAGTGTCAGCTGCAACTGCTCTGGGGTTTAATTGATGATGACAGCTCCAGAGTTGGACAGAATTGTCACCTAATAGATTTTAGGGAAAAGGATCTTTACCAAATTGTGTTTCTGAGAATCAAGTTTGGTATTAACTACTGATTGTTAAAGATGCTTTGCAGTGTTTTTAAAGTTAAAGGGCCATTGATAAGAAGTAGGAAGTTTGGACTTAAAACAATTTGTAGGACTCATGGAAAAAATCAGTATATGGAACATATACCAGAAGTCATGTGTTTTATAAATTAGGATATTACAGGTTAATAATCTAATTTTTGTTGTTTTCACTGTGTCTGTTATTCACTGTGTCCCTCATAGGTTTTTATTTTTTTGTTTTGTTTTGTTTTTAATGATTCTAGGGCTGTGCTTCCTGGAAGTGGTATTACCCATTTCATTATGCACCGTTTGCGTCAGATTTTGAAGGTATTGCAGACATGCCATCTGATTTTGAGAAGGGAACAAAACCAGTAAGCTTGATTATTTAAAGTCATAAAATTTATACAGTTTTGGATTAGATGATAATTTAGGGTCTTTAACTCTTTTTTTTCCTTGCAGTTTAAACCACTGGAACAACTTATGGGAGTGTTTCCAGCTGCCAGTGGTAATTTCCTGCCTCCATCATGGCGGAAGCTCATGAGTGATCCCGTGAGTCTCTTAGTTTTTTGAGTGGTGGGTGACTGGCTTTTTGTCATGCATTTTATTAACATTAGTCACAATTGCTTTTGCATCTCATAGCTAAAACGGTGAAGTACAGAAACAAGGTACTTGAGTTTTTCTGTATATTTTCACTATATATGTGTGTGTACACAGATATATGCACACACATTCTGCTTTCTTTGGCTATTAGTACTTTACCCAATAAATACAATTGGTTTGTGTCTGGGAGAAATTCTTATAATGGTTCTTTTGTCTCAGCTTACCTGTAAATCTTTATGGTATTTTTATTTGTTCCAACCATATTTAGTGGCTACCAGAGCTCAGAAGACTGGATTACCCTAAATCACCGTGAATTTGTTTTGTGTATTAGCTAGAAAGAGTGAGACCTAGCCAGAAAGCAGAAATTGTTACAGTAAACAAACTCTTCACTGCCTGCCTGCCTAAGGCCCACAGTTGTCAATTTGAAAGTTCTTCTATAATAATGCCTTTTCTTTTTATCTTGTAAAATAAAATAGTTAATTTTGCTTTACCAGATTTGGGATTAGTAACCTCATGTCTTTGCATATTTTTAAAAGGAGTGCATCAAAGTCTTTGTAACAGAGATGTGTGACTTCTGTTTTGATTTCTTACTTTTCTCCTGTAGGATTCTAGTATAATTGACTTCTATCCTGAAGATTTTGCTATTGATTTGAATGGAAAGAAATTTGCATGGCAAGGTAAAATTTAGAAATAGATCCTTTTTGGTAAAACTGTGAGCAAACAAACAGTAACATTTTGATAAATAATAAATAGGATTGAAATAGGTTGATAATTAAATCTTTTGTCTCCTTTGTGATGAATTAATGAGACTTGTTCCATCTAGTCAGTAGCTCATTAATGCCTTTTGAGGTTGCTGAGAGATACAGAAACATGACTGTGTCCATGTGGAGATTGACTTATACTCCATGGAAACTTTTGAAAAATACACTAGAAACTTTTATTTAGTTTAAACACTTGGCAATGGTTATTACTAGGCCTCTTGTTTTTTCACTGCTTCTGTTAACAGACTTTGGAGGGATGGCAGTATAAATTTAATGTTGAATTTAAGGTGTTATTTGTTGCTCGTTCAATATGTGATGATGGTTGAATGTAAAACATAACAAAGACATTTCTTTTATACAGTACACAGTTGTTTCACACCAAAGATTCCTTTGGGCAAGTCATTTTAATCTTATCTTGCACCACAAAATCTGTAGGATAATAAGCATGTTTGGTAAGACTCATATTTTCAACTTTTCCTGGATTATTCCATGTGGTTGGAATGACCAATAAAATGACTCCAAGAGAATCTTAAGGAAAACAAGAATAAGTAATAATTTATAAATTGAAAAATGAACATCTTGAGAGGTTTTATGGTTGACTTTTGATGTATGTAATAGCAGAAGTTTCATATTACTTTAATGGAATGATAATGGGAGATGCACCCCATTGATTGGAATTATTTAAGCATTTTGTGCTCTGTGGGCATATGCTGTTATATGTAAATGTACTGGAGACTCAGGTTGGTTTTTTGGTTTCTTTTTTGAGTGAGAGTCTCACTCTATCATCAAGGCTGGAGTGCAGTGGCATGCTCATGGCCATTGCAGCCTTAACCTACTGGGCTCAGTCGATTCCTCCACCTCAACCTTCCAAGAAGCTGAAACTACAGGCGTGCACCAAAACACCTGGCTAATTTTTTAATTTATTGTAGAGATGGGGTCTTGCCAAGTTGCCCAGGCTGGTCTTGAACCCCTGGGCTCAGATAATCCTTTTGCCCCCAAAGTGCTGGGGCAGGTGTGAACCACTGTGCCCAACATTTAGGTTGTTTTTGCAGATGCTTTGTAGAGGATGTTTTGATTAAATTAGAGAGGAGGCATAGAAGAATACGGGGTGGTAAAGTAAAAAGCACTAAGTAAATTACTTAATAAAGATATGTATTTATGTGTTCGTTAAATAAATAATTAAATCCTTGCCTGGGTTTATTAAATAAAGAATTAAATATGTAAACATGCAGGTGACTTGCCAACTATGTCATTGTAATAAAATATATATCATTTCTATCACTGACAAAGGATATTTTCAGTATAATTTAATATAGAGTAAAAGATAATGCACAAGAATTCAGATTTTTCCACATCCTCCCCAACATTTGTTTTGTTTTTATTACTAATAGTCATCCTACTGAGTGTGAAATAGTATCTCATTGTATTGTTGATTCACATTTCCCTAAGGATGATTGATAATGAGCATATTTTCATGAACTTACTGGTCATTTCTGTGTGTTTGTTGGAGAAATGTCTATTTAAGTTTTTTGTCCAATTTTGAATTGACTTCTTTGATTGTTGTTGTTGTTGTTATTGCATTTTAGGAGTTCTTTATGTATTCTACACATTGATCCCTTATTGGATATGTGATTTCCATGTGTTTTCTTTCATTCTTCCGGTGGTCTTCTGACTCTGATCTTGTGCTTTATGTGCTCTAGACACTGATCCCTTATTGGAGATATGTTTTGCATATGTTTTCTCATTCTCTTTCTTTTTGCTCTATGATATTGTCCTTTATGTGTTCCAGACGTTGATCCCTTATTGGATATGTGATTTGCTAATGTTTTCATCTTCTTACTCTGTGATAATGACCTTTATGTATTCTAGACAGTGATCCCTTATTGGATATGTGGTTTGCATGTGGTTTCATCTTCTACTCTGTGATAATGTCCCTCAGTGTATTATAGACATCGATCCCTTATTGGGTATGTGGTTTGCAGGTGTTTTCTCTTCTTACTCAGTGATAATGTCCTTTATGTGTTCTACATATCAGTCCCTTATTGGATATGTGGTTTGCATGTGTTTCCTCTTCTCACTCTGTGATAATGTTCTTTATGTATTCTGGACATCGATCCTCTTTTGGAGTTGTGGGTTTATGTGTTTTCATCTTACTCTGTGATAATGTCCTTTATGTATTCTAGACATCAATCCCTTACTAAATATGTGGTTTGCATGTGTTTTCTCATTCTGTGATAATGTCCTTTATATGTCCTAGACATCCATTCCTTATTGGAGATGTGGTTTGCATGTGTTTTCATCTTCTTACTCTGTGATGATGTCCTGTATGTGTTCTAGATGTCTGTCTCTGATTAGCGATGTGGTTTGCATGTGTTTTCTCTTACTCTGTGATAATGTCCTTTATGTGTTCTAGACATCCATCCCTTACTGAAGATGGGGTCTGCATGTGTTTTCATCTTCTTACCCTGTGATAATGTCCTTTGATGCATAAAAGTTTTAAATTTTGATGACGTCCAGTTTGTCTATTTTGTTGTTGCTGCCTATGCCTTTGGTGTCATATCGAAGAAATCATTGCCAAATTAGTATCATGTATCTTTTTCCCTGTGTTTACTTACTCTAACAGCTTTATAGGTTTAGCTCTTAATTTGTGTCTGTGGTCCATTTTGAGTTAATTTTTGTGTATGGTATGAGGTAAGGATCCAACTTCATTCTTTAATATGTGCATATCCAGTTATCCCAGCACTGTTTACCGAAAAGATCATTCTTTTCTCCGTTGAATAGTTTTTAGCACTTTTGTCAAAAACCAATTGATCATATATGTAAGGGTTTCTTGTTCTCTCTCCTATTCCATTGATCTATATGTCTGTCCTTATGCCAGTGCCATACGTTTTAATTACTGTAGCTTTGCTTATTGTGCGTCTTTTAACTTTATTTGTTCAAGATTGTTTTGACTATTTGGTTTCCCTTTAGATTCATATGAATTTTAGAATGGGCTTAAACTTTGACCTTTAATATTTTATATTAATATTTTTACTTATTAGACTTAGTAGCAAGAAAGAACAGACATAAAATTTAGTTCTTTTAGAGATATAGTTATTTCCTCATACATGTTTTTAAAACTTAATGAAAATAATGATAATTGTTAAATTCTTGCTTGTAGTGAGTACATCTTAAAAATGATAGAAGGTAAAATATATCTGAGTACTTTTTCAACATTTTTGAACTATATGTCATTCATTAGCAATATTGTTCTTATAAGATTTGCTTAGTACTCTATTGATATATATAGCATTATTGATTGCTCTGTATTTGATACACAAGCAGAATTTAGGTAATTTGATTAAGTCACACATGGCAGAGCCAAGATATGAGCCCAGAGAGTCTGACGCAGGCGCTCACCTCTGAAATGCTGTGTTTACCTGAGCATTGCCACACCCTGGTCTATCTCTGGGCATTTTAGAGGATTCATAAGATGCTGCGTGTAACACAGTCAGTGCTCAGTGTACAGTGGATGCTCACTTCCATGGTTGGCTGGCTCTCCAGCACTGCCATATCTGGAGGCAGGCACCCCTCTCAATACTGGCAGCGGGGCTGCTTCATTGCTGGGTAACTAACTCTCTTGCTGCCAGTCGCACTGCAAGTTGCTTATGGATTGGTTTTGACTTCTGGAGTTGATATTGTAGGAAAGTCTTTCGTAGATTACCTTTTTAGATCCTAAATGTAGTAAATAGAACACAGAAGCTAGATAATGCTGTATTTTCTTATTTAGTATTTCTCTGAAGTGTATGGCTACAACTTGAGCAATTTCTAGGTTTTTTTTCCATGTGTTTACCAGTAATTGAAATAACCTGACTCAGATGCTAGATATTCAAAATTCATACTAGAACTTAGTTACTTTTTAACTTAAAAAAAATTCTTACTCGGTAGTAAAATTGAACATGTTTCCTAACTTTGGCAATACAGTAGTTAAATAATCAATGACAACTCTGGAAACCTTTCATTTCTTATAATTTTAAGGGGAATAATTACAAATACAATGGTCTTGAGTGGTAGTGGTTTCAAAATTATTTAGCTCTACCTAGCATTCATCTTTGCTATTTGTCTTAATATTTTTATTTAGCCAGAATACTATTTATTCTGTGTATGGTAGACTATATATACCTACATATGCTTCAGTAACTGTGTATTTTTCTAGTAATAGGTACTATATTAGTGACATGCCTCATTGAAAAACATGCATGTGTTTCCAAATAAAGCAGTGCCCTTAATCCCAGCATCTCCAGAGGGTCATTTTCAGTCCACATTAACTGCCTCTGTTCTGTCCCCTACCCCAAGGCTATAAGCAAGTCTGTAAAGATGTTTTGTATATAAATTAATTAGTAGACTTTAACATGTGAACAGAACGCCTATACAGTTTTAGACCTGGGGGAGGTCTTCCATGGACTCTCACTGGACAGAGCTATATGTTTTAGTTGAATGATCTCATGCTACAAGAGAAGAAACTGTGTCCTAGAAAGAGGAAAGGACAGGCTCAGGTTGGAGATGAACTGACCTGCTTGGGGCATCTTAGTGGGTGAGGCAGGGGCACATGCTGGTATCCGGTGACTGTGTGTTCATTTCATTTAAAAATGGTCACCACTGAGTTCAGATTCAGCAAACATGATTTTTCGTATGACTTACTTTAAGAATGGAAAAGATGTAGAATCGTGGATGATATTAGCATCTTAGTTTTGGCTGAATGAGATAGTAAGAGCTTGGTTCCAGAATGTTTTTATATCGACAAGGATAGTCTTCTAGAAGTGTGTATTTGGACCAGTGATAAGCTGGAATTTAGGTGACCCTGATGGCTGGCTGGTTCACATGCATCTGTTGTGCTCAGGTGTCGCGCTGCTGCCATTTGTGGATGAACGGAGGCTGCGAGCCGCCCTGGAGGAAGTGTACCCCGACCTCACTCCTGAAGAGAGTAAGATCATGATTCTTTGGTGAACACTGTCTGTGTGATGCCAACTTCACATTTCCTTATAAAATTAGATCTTGTTTCCCTTCCATTTGCCAAACTTCCCATAAAGGAGACATAAATTACTCGTTTTATTTCTTTATAACAAATGTTAAATTTGCTTCTTAATTTATTATGTTAACTGAGTAGTACTTAAAATGTTTTAGCTTACGAGTGTTTGTTAAAATTTTTTAAAATCAGTACTTTAAGAGTATCCTTTAACTTTTTTATTCTTATATGATATGTACACACAAGAGTATTTTGCCTTTGGGGAAGGAATTTTTTCCAGTTACCTTCTTTCCTACTTCCTCAAACTCCCCAAATAATAACTTTGCTTAAAGGTTAGGATGAAACAAAAGCATTTGCCCTTAGAGTGCTAACTTGAAGTGTTATTTTGCATAAGATGTGGTATTTTGTGATTAATACTGGCAGCAAAAAGCATTCAGATTGGGAAATTGCAAAGCTGTGCTCTATTGAAAAGTTTATTTAATGACATAATACACCTGTAGAAATAATTTCTCTACTAACTGTCTTTAGAAAAATCTTCATCATCAGATGATATAATTTGTTTCCTAAGGGAATGTTTATATATTTATTACACTAAGAAATTGAGTGAATTAAGCTACTTGGAAGGCTGAGGCGGAAGGATTGCCAAATCCCAGCAGGTCGAGGCTGCGGTGGCCATGAGCATCCACTGCACTCCAGTCTGGGGGCAGAGTGAGACTGTAACTCAAAAAAAAAAAAAGAAATTGAGTTCTTTATCAGTAAGGAAATCTTGCATTTTATCATGTGGTGTATTCAGATATCTTTCAGTGATTTGTCTTCTGATAGTTATTGATCTTTGAAACCTTATTGTTAAAATATTTTTTTCCCATAAAGGCATAGCACACATTTAGGTCTATCACTTTTATTTTTTAAAATTTTAATTGATTTTTTTAAGTGATATATAATAGTTGTATATATTTTGGGAGTACATGTGATATTTTGATACCTGTAAAGATCAAATCAGTAATTGGAATATTCATCATCTCATTTATTTTTGTGTTGAGAACATTACAATTTCTCCCAGCTATTCTGAAATATATAATAAATTATTATTAACTATTATTTTCCTATCAAATACTAGAACTTATTTCTTCTGTCTAACCTGTCACATTAAAATTATTTTTTGTAAATTTTATAGTTAAGTTTTTAAAACTTAAATGCTTTCCCTCATTTTGCTCTTGTAAAAATTGGCCTCGCAGATACAGTGTTTTACATGTGGGTCTTCTCTTCTTGCTTCCTCCTCAGCCAGAAGAAACAGCTTGGGAGGCGATGTCTTGTTTGTGGGGAAGCATCACCCACTCCATGACTTCGTTTTAGAGCTGTACCAGACGGGCTCCACAGAGGTAGGGCATGCCGCTGGTCTCATCAGGAATGCCTATTTTCCCCATATTTTGGTAAAATATACATGACATAAAATTTACCATTGTAATGATTTTTAGTGTAATTCTGCAGCATTAAGTATATTCACAGTGTCGTGCAACTACCACTATCCATTTCCAAAACTTTTCATCTTCCCAGAGAGCAATCCTGTACCCATTAAACAACATTAACAGATATCCTCTCATTCTGCCCTCCCCCTAGCCTCTGGTCACCCCTCTTCTATTTCTATTTCTCTGTGAATTTGCTTTTTCTTAGTACTTCATATAAGTGGAATCATTACAATACTTGTCCTCTGTGTCTGGCTTATTTCATTTAGTGTCATGTTTTCAAAGTTCATCCATGTTGTAGCACGTATCAGAATTTCATTATTTCTTATGGCTAAACAGTCTTCTGTTTGTGTGTATGTACCACATTGGTTTTCCTTCATCTAGTGATGAATATTTGGGTCATTTGCCCCTTTTGGGTCTTTTGAATACTGCTACTATTAACTGGTGTACGCATGTCTGCCTAAGTCCCCATGTTCCATTCTTGTGAGTATATAATCTGGAATGGATTTTTCTACAGCCAGTGGATGTGCCACCTGAACTGTGTCATGGGATTCAGGGAAAGTTTTCTTTGGATGGAGAAGCTGTTCTTCCAGATCAGTAAGTGTTCATTTGTATGTAATTAAAGCGATTGGAAGAAAGTTTAGTTAGTACTTTTTTCTTATCTAAATGTGTATTTTCTAGTAGTAGTGAGAAAATTATATTTAAAACAAAACAACCCTGTTGATTAAAAAAGGCTTGGATTCAAAGCCCAGCTCCTCATCGTAGTAACTGTATCACCTTGTGCAGGGAGCTCTGGGGGTTCCCTGAAACCCTTCCAGGGTATCCAGAAAGTCAAAGTGATTCTCATAATGATACTAAGATGCTGTGGTGCTATTTGCTTTTCTTACTATTTTACTCTTGAGTGCACAGTGGAGTTTTCCAGAGGCCATATGTCATAAGATTGGATCTTAAGGGATTGGATTAGAAGCAGAAAAGAGAATCCAGCTATTAGATAGATACTAAGCCAGATATTAATGAGATTTTCAAAAATGTTAAAGTGATACTTACTTTTGTTTTGCTTTGTAAAAAAAAAGTTGTTTTTTTATAAAAATGTTAATTGTGTTAACCTGTAATAAGATTACCTTTAATTTAGTATTTGTAAAATTTCTTAGTCTTAATTTTTTTTTTTTTAAGATTACAGTCTCACTCTGTTGCCCAGGCTGTAATGCAGTGGTATGATCATAGCTCACTGCAGCCTCCAACTCCTGGGCTCAAGTGATCCTCCCACCTCAGCCTCCTGAGTAGCTGAGACTATAGGAATGCACCATCATACCTGGCTGTTTTTTTAGTTTTTTGTAGAAATGGGGTCTTGCAACATTGTCCAGGCTGGTCTTGAACTCCTGGCCTCCAACCATTCTCCTGCTTCAGCCTCCAAAAGTGCTGATATTACAGGTGTGAGCCACTGTGCCTAGCCACATTCTGGTAAACTCTTGGAATTGTCACAGCTTAAAATTAGATTTTGTCAGTCTAGTGAATGCATTTTGTGGTTTATAGCTGCGTTTCTCTGATTACTGATGAGATCGAATGCCTTGTGGTTAATGGTTAACCATTTCATTTATGAGGGACCTGTTATGTTTTTTTTTTGTTAAGTAATGTTTTCCTCTCTTTTTGGTTTGTAAACCCATAATTGTTTTCTGTTTTAGAGGTGATAGACAAGGAAGATAGGATCAGCCTAACAAACATGGCAACATCTTTCTTCCACTTACCTGAATAGTTACAGTTTACAAATAGATGCTTCTTCTCTTGTCTCTTTTTAGAGTGGTATGTTCTCCCGTTCCCATGTTACGGGATCTGACACAGAACACTGCAATCAGGTAAGTTTTCCAAAATTCTTGGCATTCACTCAGAGCACCGCTCTGAACTTGTGAACGTATTGTAAAAGACCTCTGATTCACAAGGAAATGGCGGCTGTTAATCCACCCGTGCTTTGAGATTGGAGAGTCCCTGTGCTGTGGACCTCAGAGCAGAGCCTCTTGACTTTAAATTATGTATATTGTTAAGGTTACTGATTGAAGAAGCTGGCTTATCTGTTTTCTGGTTTCCCCTGACAACCTCTAATTCTTCCTGGATTAGGAAAGTGGGAGGTAGAAAGTAGGAGTTTCTAGTAGTTTGTTATATAGGAGCAAACAGAACTCTATACCCCAGTGGCTCACACAGCTTTACTATATTATAACAGACCGTTTTAATTCTGTTTATAATCACAGCCCTGCAGAGTTTAAAAACAAAAGTATTTTGTTATATGTTTTCATTAAGATAGGATGCATTTGGGAAGATTTTTATCAGCGATTATTATAAATTTAAAGGGCTGATTTCTGCTATCTCGAAAACCTTTGTAGGCCTCAGTTCTTCAGTGCTGACAGCATTTTCTACTGAATAAAAATGATGTAAAGTGTAATGTCTTTTTAGAGTAAAAATCAAACTTACTACATTTGTGTAATATAATGACTCATCTTGACAGCAGAGTTTTGTTGTCATTTTTTCTGATCTTTAGGCAAGGCTAAAGCAAGCACAGCTCAGGTATTCAGTAATTTGGTAAAAGCTTACTAATCCTGAATCTTCTTTTTTCACCCATTTTTGTTTCTTTCCCTCTCAGGAAATATTTTAGGTTTTACTTAAATTTCCTATTGTGAAGGATAAAGATGCTTATTTCCTATCTTTAATGGATTTAGGTAGTAACTATTTGTCATTTTAGAAAGACTTTTATTTGAAGAAAATTGTGATTGTGAGTTTGGAAAATCTTCCCGAATTAGTTGCTTTAATCTTTACACACACTTTTTTGGTGTAGGTTTACACATGATATGTCCTGGCTCTCTGTCTTTGTGCTCTTTTGTTGAGGATGGAGTACAGAATTGAAAGCCGTGCTTCTAAGCCCATCACAGACAATCTGGCTCTCACAGATCCAGTGTGGACACTGTGTATTAACCCTTGGGGGTCTCTGGTTTGCATTGAAACCTTGACGTGCAGACCAAGTCACTCCATGGGTTCTCTGGATTGTCACATATTTGCTTGCGCTTCTCAATTTTTATGCGTGTGTTCAAGGGCTTTCTTGCCTGACCCTCTAGAAATAGTTAATTCTACTTAACTTTCTAATTAGGATGGAGAGGCCTGCCCTAAGGAGAGTTTCAAAATTAATGGACAAATCCTGGAATTTTTGTTTGGATGATATTGGTGTGGTGGTGGTGGTGGTGATTGGTTGGTTGTTTCTGAGCCTAAAGGGTACTTTAGTATTTGGTACCTACTGTGTTGACAAGATTATTAAGTTTATTAAAACAATTCCCAGATCTAGGTGTCTGTTCAGATATAGGTTTTAAGTAACTTCATAATACAGTTGATTTAATTGAGTTAATGTCCTAAAGATTTGTGAAAGACCAAAGTTAATTTTTATCTTATGTGAGGTAATGTTTAATGTTTTTTCTGATGGGTAATGTTGAGGCTGAGGTCCAGTTTATTGCAGTTTTTGGTGTGTTTGGTTTATGGCTTGGTGTGTATTTCAGCATTACATTTGCTTTATAAAGAAAAACCTGGAAATGCAGCCTGTGTTGTCATTTGCCAACTATTTCCATTTTGACTCCTGGTACTTTTTCCCCTTCCCTATTTGGATACATCCAGTGTCCCACTCTATATTTGAGAAATTGTTCCCTCAGGTTCAGTTGAGGTCAGTTCTTTTCATCGCTTTCAGTCTTATCTGTAGTATTTAGAAAGTATATTATACAGGTGATTGAAGTCTCTTAAGTTCACAGAAGGACCCTTGCAGACTGTGGTCACCTCTGACCTAGGAGATGATTTCCCCCTCCCCCGATTCCATTAATCATCCAACATTTTAGTAGCTTAACTTGGAGTAGAACTGAGCTATCCCCGTAATTTTTCTTATTCTGGTCTTTTCCACGATTACAATCTGCTCAGATATTATTTTCCAAACAATTCTTTGTTAACTTTATGTAAAACCTTCTGCCTGTGATTTGTAAATTTCAGAAAAAGTCATCCTTCAGTCTGCTCATTGAAGGGCTAGGTGGACATACACATGCATCTGCTTTTCCGGGACCTGTCGTGATCTGGCGCCATGGCTCTGTGTCTGGGTCCTCAGCTCCTTAAGAACACCTCCCTCCTGCCTCGGCTGGGCCCTGCAGGGTCACTGCGACTCCCACCTATTCCATCCATTGTTCTGAGTGCTCTTCTTTTCTCTGCCTGCTGTGCCCTGCCATTTGTTGCTTTTCTTTTCTTCAAAAACGTGATTTCTATATATGTTATTTTCAAAAATGCAATTTCTCTAGGTTTCTATATATGCTATTTTCAGCAATAGCGTTGTTACTTTTTTCCCGTCATAGCACCTAGCCTATTTTTAAATACATGTAAAAAACTCAGTTATTCATGGTGTTGGAGCCAGGGTTTGCCAAGGTCTTCCAGGAGCCCAGACTTTTTTCTTCAAAGGAATGTTTCTCAAATTTCCTGTGTTAACTTTTGGATGAATCAGGCAAGGTATGGAATGTTTTATCTCTTCAACAAGGTTTTTAAAAATGTGGATTTGTGTGGAGATGGGTTTTTTAATGTAACCATTCTTGCAGTATTTGTAAGGCTCATGGTTGGCAAGCAGATAACCTGAAATCAGATGCCTGGAGGAGGTGGAATGTTGCATCAGCAGTAGACTTGGTGGAGAAAACCCTTGGGAGGGTCTGTGCTCACTGCCTGTGATACTCTGTAGGTCACAGAACCGTTTAACCTCTTCGGGTGGAATGGCGCAATGCTGTAAACTCTTTTAAGTGTTTTAAAATGTCAAGTGTGTGAATCATGAAATTTCCCTGCAAGAACAGTTTGCATTGGTGTGCTGATTTAGCACTAATTGTGGAACACATCAAGGAAAGGTAGAGTAAAAATGAAGCTTGGTATTTGGCACTTTCTGCTTTGTGAAGTGTGTAGTACTCTCTAACAGCAATAGGACTTAAAACAGCACTTCTAAGGATACTTTTTAAAGTGAGTCGAATCAGAAAAAGGTGGTGTGTGTCCATTCCTTTTCTACAGAGATCCAGCTTCGGTATTTGTTTCTTACCGACAGTGGTGGAAGTGCCGCTTGTGATACACGTAAATGCGCTGCTCAGTCTCCTTATTCTCAGCCGTGCTTAGGTTCTAAATTTTACTTATTTTACCCTTGGTGTGTTTATGAAAGGTTTTTGATTTTGACTTATTTTGCCCTTGGTGTGTTATGAAGCTAATTAGTTGGTTAACATAATGGGGAGGCTACCTGTCTGCTATGCGGCCCTCCCAGAAGCCAGCACTGGGGGAGTTGACACTCTCCATTTGAAGAAAGTAGAGACAACTACTTCTCCCATGTACAGAATCAGATGAAACAATGTAAATCTGAGCACACACTTTTTCCCATGCTTCTTGGTGGGGGGTGAGGATGCGTCTCTCCTTACTGCCTACCCTCCCAGGATGAATTCTATAGTTCATCTCTTTTGTTTCTGATGGTAGAAATATCTGTCAAAGGGTAATCTGTATTTTTTTTTCCTTTAGTGCTCAACCTCTAAGAATTTAATGACATAAACCTGAAAAAAAAATGAAGGACTTTCAAAAGTTTGAATCCATATGAAAAACTACCCTTTGGGTCTTTGCTTAATGGGCTTCTGCCTTGTCTGTGTGTTTCACTTTTAGGAAGTTTGTTTGAGTCTGAGTTGTGGTTGATGTTATCACACTGGAAAAAGACATTTCTAAAAACATAATAGATCTTAGCATATATATTTTTTGAACAAAATACTAAAAATCTTTCAACTAGTGGAAGGTTAATTCATTTTAGGAGAGAATATATCTTCAAATTGTTCTTAAAGATTTAAGGAAAAAGAAGGTGTTGATACTTTGAGATCATAAATAGTGTCCTTGACTGTCTCCTAATGGTTTGTACTTAAGCATATAGGGGAGAAGGGAAGATCTTGGAGATTGTTTTCCTGTTGTCTTAGAAAGTTTTTCCCTTTCCAGAGAGTGAGCATGAATAATGGAATTTTAAAAACAACTTTATTAATAATAAACTGTGCATATATAATAAATACAGTTTATTAATAATAAACTGTGCATATATGACAAATACATGGATTTGTTTTCTCAAATGTTAGTTTCATCTGTCTTAATAAATCTCTCATTGTAACCATTATTCTTCAGGAGTGATTATCCCTGTAACTTGGGCTTCTCTCTTCTCTCTGGGAGCTTGTTAGTCTGGTTAGTATGTCCCCCCACTTCCACCATGACACCATGGATGATGCAGTGGATACTCTAGCAATTTGACAACCTGTTGAGAAGCCTGCTGACACACAGACAATAGCTCTGAAACACCTTGACTGCAAGTCTTGCTTTATTACCAATATTCTCTCTTTGTCTCTGCAGAGTCCTATCGAGCCAAGTACTTCACTACAATTTTTTCTGTCATTCTCTTAAACTTTTGCCACCGCCTGTCCTACTCTGCCCTGTCCTGTGCCACTTTGCCCAGTAAAGAACATTTGAGCTAAAGTTAGTTGCCAGTGAAGAGTGAGTTGTATGAGGAGCCAATTGAGTAATGAAGTATTGTTCAGCTGTTCTTGAGCTCATTGTATTTTTATTGTAAGCGAAGCTATTTTTGTGTACGTAAAATATACAGTTAAATCGTACTGCAACAAACATTTCTGTAGAGCAGATGGACCCTAGCTGTTAAAGTGGCAGATTTCAAAAAGAAAAAAAATTAGCTGTCTAAAAATGTCAGCCAGCTCAGTAAAATCTTTTTTTGTGTGTGAAACCTTTTAAACTAAAACTGTAATCTAATCATTGGAGGAATTTTGAGAAATAAAAAAAAACAACAACAACATGAAGGAAGGGAGATGGTGACTATACAGAGAACAGCACTGATGTCCTTTTGATGAATATAGGTTTTATCTGCCATATGTATGTGTGTTTTTCTCATGTCATTTAGTATTCTGTTCCTAAATTTTAAAAAATACCATCCACAGATTCCATTGTTTAGGAAGAATCTGAGTTCTTTAACCAATCCGCTATTGTTTATACACTTAGGTTTTACTGTCTTTCAACATTATGAATTAATAGCATTGTAAGCATACTTAAGTGTGATGTATAGCTGGAGTCCTAGAAGAAGCATTGCTGGCCAGAATACTCATATACTTTTAACCCCTTGGGATACACACACACACACACACACACACACACACACACACACACACACACATATACCCCACCACCAGAAAAGAAGTTTGACCCATCTTATACTCAAAATCTGAGTATATAGCTTTTTAAATAGGTATATATGTGTCTTTTCAAATTATGACCATTTCATTTAAAAATCATATACTAGGAGAGAAGGGCAGAGGGTTCCAGCTGGGAAGTTGAGTGTTGTCTTTGTCTTTTTGGAATTTTTTTTTTATTTAAAGATATGGGGTACAATTCAGGGTTAGGTATACAAATGGTCATTGTACAGGTAAAGCTTGGGCCTCACTTGGGTCTCCATGTCACCTGGTTTGAGATCAGGTACCCTTACTGATGAAGTGTGCCCCCCCCCACTCCCTCCCCTGGCAGTTTCCCACTACTGCCAATCCCTTTCTTACAGTGTTAGGGTAAATGTCCAGGGTTCACTTCTGAATGAGAACATGTGGTACTCAGTTCTTTGTTTCTGTGATAGATCACTGAGTATTATATACTCTAAATCTATCCAAGTTGCTGCAGAGTTCATAATTTTGTCCTTCTTTATGACTATGTAATATTCCATTATGTATATGTACCGTATTTTTTTAGTCTAGTATACTTTCGATGAGCAACATGGTTGGTTCCATGTTTTTGCTATTGTGAATAGTGCTGCGATAAACATGCATGTGCAGATATCTTTTTTGTAGAATAATTTGAGTTCCTCTGGGTATATTCCCAGAAGAGAGATTTCTGGGTCATATGGGAAGTTGATTTTTAGATCTTTCAGGGAAAAAAAATCTAAAAATTTTTCCACAGAGGTTGTACTAGTTTATACTCATAGATTTCTTAGCTATTCGTGTAAATATTTTGATTTTGGAAATGTTTCATTTACTAGTGTTTATGTCTTTTCTTTGTTGAAGTAAGAACAAACCCACCCTAAGATGCTAGGGGTCTTTGCCATGGAGTGAAGCAAATGAAAGGCACTTTATTTTTATTTTTTGTTGTTATAAACGTCTTCAACTTATCTCCAGTAGCATATTGAAATGTCTCAAGGGTTGAGGCAATCTCTTATTTCTCTGCCATCCCTCACATTAGATAGAACATGGCTCTTCTTACAGAGATGCTTACATGAGAGCAATATACAAGGAACTAGAGGCAGTTGGTGAAAAAGAAGATACAAGTATTCAGGCATTTGGCAAAACTGCTGTTTAAAATAACTTTTGGAGAGGACTTTTGGATTTTAGTTATTCTATTTAAACATGAAAAATACCTACATCTACATAATAATTAAGCCAGACTAATATAATTAAGTAATTTAATTTTTTTTTTTCCAGTATTAATTTCAAAGACCCACAGTTTGCCGAAGATTACGTTTTTAAATCTGTGATGCTTCCAGGAGCAAGGTAATAGCAGTACACGTCCTAGGTGCATTTTGTGCACGTGATGTTCATCCCTGTAACCAAGTATTGTCTCTTCTAATGGTCAGAAAGCCAACAACAGTGCTGAAGCCCAGTGACTGGGATAAGTCCAGCAATGGGCGGCAGTGGAAGCCCCAGCTGGGATTCAGCCGTGACCGGCGGCCTGCCCACCTGGACCAAGCTGCCTTCAGGACGCTGGGGTAAGTCACAGGTTTCCAGCCCTTGTGGATTCTGCTTCTTCTGAAGCATCCCATAAAGCAAGTCAGTGTTTATGCCACAAATACTTTTTTGTTTTTTAAAATGCTGAATTTATTTTCATGTATATTTTTGCCTCCCCACTATTCCCATTTCTGACCACTGCTACTATTATATCCTGTTAGAACCTTCCATCCATAACTTAAGTCCAAGCAAAGAGTGAGGCTTCATCTTTAAAAACTAAGCAGGTATTTTTGGCAGCACATTCTTGTATGCCACAAATAACAGACCATAAGATACAACTATTGTACAGATATTTTAATAACTGATACTTTTCTACTTCATTTTTAAAAACTTCTCTGTTTATGTGGTGCATGAGAATTCTATTATTTTCTTTCCCTAAGAAGTTTTACTATCTTGAACTCCTGGACTTAAACAGTCCTCTTGCCTTAGCTTCCCAAAGTGCTGGGAGTACAGGAGTGAGCCACCATGCCTAGCCGCTGAGAAAGTTTTAGATGAGCGTAGTTATATGCCCAGATATTTCTAGTGTGTTGTAATCTATAATACTGGTACTGAGAGGAATGTCTAGTAAAATAGGAGACATCAGCATAGTGAAGTATTCTATAGGAATACATATTAGAATCATGAAGACTGAAGAAAGGTAGAGGGAATTGTTCAAAATAGTAAATTGGAAATCGCAAGATATAGAGTTGTAATGTGTACAGTGATAGCAACAGCATGGGTCCATAAGGAAAAATCTGAAGTATACTGTAAAAAAAATAAGACTCAAATTATTATTTTTTTAATAATGTAATTAGTAAATACTTCACCCTTACCATTGTGTAGTTTTGAACTTTAATTATAAACCTTCTTTTGGTTTGTGTTATCTTTATCACATCTACTAGTGAATATGTGGCTATGAGCATTTGTTTGATCTGTGTCAGCTGAGACATGATGGCTAGATCTCTGTATAATTTTTTTTCTTGTGTGTGGGATCCTTGTATAGCCATGTTATGCCGAGAGGCGCAGGAACTGGCATTTACAGCAATGCTGCACCACCACCTGCAACCTATCAGGGAAACTTATACAGGCCACTACTGAGAGGACAAGCCCAGATTCCAAAACTTATGTCAAGTAAGTTTTTACTAATCAGTTATTTCAAATTGTAAGTTAAATATCACAACAAAAATTGCTGTCTAATCCTCATTGTTAAAAAAGATTTGTGACATCAGTGCAGAGACAGCAGGCTTTAAAAACATGAATTGAAAGAAAATAACTTGTGTAAAATCTTATAAAAATTTAATCTGGTCTGTATATAGTAGACTGAATAGTATGATTTGGATTTCTTCCTTATCTTTGCTTATAAATCTATTTCTGAGTTAATGCCTGCAGAATAAGGTATATGGAATTGATTGCTAGTTATTCCATTAATAACAAGTATTTGGACAGTTAAATCGGGTGCACTGGATAACAAAGGTATCCCTTTCTGGATTCAAATTGTATTTCAGTAGTACCTAAGTGATAACCAGGAGTTGCTTTAGATAAGACTATATCTTTAACCTGTGGTTCTGTGAAGACTCTGACCTTTCTTTGATTCCTCTTAAGTTGTGGACAGTTCAGAAATGTTAACCATGAAAATAATTAAAATGGCATTTGGATTGCAGTGAGAAATGGAATAGATCATTGAGTGTTAGACTTCATAGATATTACATTATATCCCCACTTAATGTTATTTTTGAGCTCCATGGCTGTGCCTATTTATCAAGGAAGTATAAGTCATGTGCCAGGTTCTCAAAGTCACATTGAAACCTTTGCCTCCATTCCTGGTTTTCTGGTTGCTGCACAGGTGGCTTAGGAAAGAAACTGGCAAGAGGCTAACATCTGGTACATCGGAGTGATGTGTCATTTGATTTATTTTCTGAATGCTTGATGTATTTGAGAATGCTATTCAATTGCAGACAACTCTCATGACTCTTTTTCAGCCAAAGTTGTAGTTATTTAAGAAAGTGCCAGCTTAGGGATGATTGTTGGTAGGTATTTATGCTGTGTGTCCAGCATGGTTTTAATGCCAGTTAAGTTATGAATCATTTTTTAGCCCGAAGCCCAGCTTTTCCAGATATAGTACCCAAGAAAAAATAGTTTCCATAGGTCTTGGGTTCTCAGGACCTGTGTTTATTGTGCATTTGCTCTGTCCCTCTCTAGTGGTATGGCCTGTGTAGCTTAATGATATTGACTGGAGCTTTGTGAACCTCTATCTTAAAAACTATGGACTTCAGCAGCTTTACTGTTTTTAGTGAGGCGCCGGGGGGTGCAGAGTTTAATGAGATGCAGGAATCTGTTTGGTGCAGTGGTTCCGTAGCAGCCTTCCCTAAGATTTAACAACTGTATTTCCATATATTCAATGTCAAATCATATCACATGTGGCAGGAGACTAGTCACTTTTCAGAGCTATCGCCATTCATTAATAAATGGTGAAAGCTTGTCTAGCTGACAGAGCTATCACCATTCATTAATAAATGGTGAAAGCTTGTCTAGCTGACAAAGCTGTTTTAAAGCCAGCTGTTTGCTAATACATTTCTTCTTATGACTCTTTGCCACATGGATACCGTGGCCTTCTGCTCCCAGGCTATGTGGTCCTGTTGCAAGAAGAGAAAGAGGTCAGAAGGTTTGCCAATTTATCAACATCACATCACAGATAGAAAATTTCATGCCCTTGGGAGCCTGCAGTTCTTTAGTTATCGGTCTGCTTTCTTTGGAAATAGAAAATTGTTGTTTGTCTGCATCTGAGCATTTTATTTCACATGGTGGAGTCCCCTCTCTACTTTTATCACTTTAGGTGAATAACTTGTCATTTGTCATTTTTGTAGCTGTTATTAGATCTAATTTGTACTTACAACAGACTTTGTAAATACAAGAGACTTTGGTTACCATCTAGTCCACTTAGAATATCTTAATTTCAATTTTATCATTAAAAAATTGGGAGATGGGTTTTATAAAGTAGTAATTGACTTAGACCAAGAAACAAGTGGCCCTCTCTGCCTGATGACTTGTAAACATCAAGCTACCTGAGGATAGTGCTGGAACTCGTATTTGACATGTTTTCAAAGAGGGTAAGATTAAAGGGGTTAAGAATGAGGGCAATGAAAAAGTTTCTGGGGAAGAAGACAGCAAGAATATGATACTTAAATTGAGCTAATGAGGGGAGGTGGCATTGGTGATACTCCAGGCTGAGAGAAAATAATGAGCTTGAAGTATATGGCAGGAATTTGGGTGACATTAAGTTTAGTACAATTGATAGAAAGTTAGCCTGGTAGCCTCAGTTGGAATAGATTATGAGGAAGGGGAAGCTGCTATTTTCCATTTTTAGTGATGATTTAAATATATTTAAACTGTAATACATGTTAATTGAACAAAATGTGGTATATAATAGTAAAACATAAAAGGCAAACATCCATAATTCCACGGTCTTGAACTAATAAGCAGTGTGTCTTTTTTTGTCTTCATATGTGCAATTTTTGAAAATTGGGCTATTATGCCCATTTTTATGTAGACTTTTTATTAAAATGTAGCATATACAAAGTGCCAGTTTGAATTTTTATGAAGTAAACATAGCCATGTATACATCACTCAAATCAGGAAATAGAAATTTACCAGTCCCCAGAAGCTCTCCTTGTGTCCTTCCCAGGAGCTACCCCTGCCCTCTAAAAGGACCACGTCCCTGACTACAATACCATACATTAGTCTTCTATTTTTCTGTTTTTGTTTTATGAGTTGGGGTCTCAATCTTCGCCCAGACTGGAGTGCAGCGGCACTGTCATGGCTCACTGCAGCCTTGACCTCCTGGGCTCAGGTGATCCTTCTGCCTCAGCCTCCCAAGAAGCTTAGACTACAGGTGAATGCGACCATGCCTGGCTATTTTTTTGTTGTTGTTGAGATGAGATCTCGCTGTGTTGCCCAGGCTGGTTGCGAACTCTTGGGCTCAAGCAATCCTCATGCCTTGGCTTCCCATACTACTGGAGTTACAGGCATGAGCCACTGCACCTGGCCTATTCTTGGATTTTTTTTTTAAACCTTATCTAATGGACTCTTATACCTTTTTTAAAAACTGCCTTCTTTTGTTCTATATTTTCTTTCAGATTTAATCATGTGACTGTAGCAATGGTACACCCATTTTCATTGCGTTACTATTCCATCTGTGATGGTATTGCCATTATTTATCTGACTAGTAGGAGTGTTTGGTTGGTTTCTGGTTTGAGGCGGTGAAATAGGACTGCTGTGAGGTTCGCGTACCTTTGATGCACGTGTGTAGACACTTCTTTCTGATGGGTGTGTGCCTAGGAAGAACTGCAAGGCTACGGGGGTGTGCGTGTCCAACTCTAGTGCATGGAGATGTCAGGCACGTTTCCCAAATTACATTTAGTTTGACCCCATTTACATATTCCTAAGCCGTAGAGGAGAGGTCTAGTTGCATTCTGTTTACTTCTAGCTTTTCTGCTAGGTAGGGAGTGGTATCCACTCAGGTTTTAATTAGCGTCTTCTTGATTACTAAGTTGACCATCTTTAAATGTTTTCTGATCATTTGAATGTCTTGCTTCTTTCTTTCTTTTTTTTTGAATTGGGGGTCTCACTCTGTCACCCATGCTGGAGTACAGTGGCATGATTATGGCTCACTCTAGCTCAGACTCCTGGATTCAAATGATCCTCCCACCTCAGTCTTCCAAGTAATTAGGACCTATAGGAGTGTACCACCATACCCTGCTAATTGTGAGTGTGTGTGTGTGTGTGTGTGTGTGTGTGTGTGTGTAGAGATGGGGTCTTGCTATGTTGCCCAGGTTGGTTGGTCTTGAACTTCTGAGCTCAAGCAGTCCTCCTGCCTCAACCTTCCAAAGTGCTGAATGTGAGCTACCATATTAGGCCTGAATATCTTTTTGTGTGTGATGTAGTGTTCAGGTTTTGTCTGGTTTTCTATTGGCTTGTCTTTTTCTTTTGGTTTTGTAGGAGTTCTTTTATATTCTGGTTATGAGGGGATTTTTTGTGGTGGAAATATCTTCTTCCACTAGGTGGTTTGCCTTTTTACTTTTTTATTGGTATCATATGATGAATAGAGGTTTATATCAGCATTTGGGGAATATGGGTGAAGGGAATGTGGGAATTCCTTGTACTCTTGTAACTTTTAAGTTCTCCGAAATTGAAATTGTCACAATAGAAAATTAAAGATAAAAAGAATTACTTCTAGATAATTGATATATTTTGATGTTTTTGTAAGATTATCACTTAAATATCATTTTCTAATTGCTTATATATAGAAATAAAGTTGATTTTTGAATGTTTATATCTAACAACCTTACTAGATTCGTTTTTCCTTTCTTTGTTTTTTTTTTTAAATCTTGGAGTCTCACTCCGTTGCCCAGGCTGGAGTGCCATGGCATGTTCATGACCACCCCAGTGTTGACTTGCTGGGCTCCAGCAATCCAGCTGGAACTACAGGCACGCACTGCCACACGCGGCTAGTTTTTTATTTTATTGTAGAGACAAGGTCTTTCCAAGTTGCCCAGGCTGGTCTTGAACCCGCAAGCTCAGGCAGTCTACTCGCCTCAGCCTCCCACAGTGCTGGAATTATAGGCTGAGCCATGGAGGCCGGCCTAAATTCATTTTTTTCTAATAGTGTTTGTGTTCTTTTGAATTTTTTGCATACACAATTATGTCATCTGCAAGTAGTGACTACTTTATTTACTTATTTACTAATCATAATGCCCTTTGGGTGTTTTTTTCTTGCTTTATTGCACTGGCTAGGACCTCTCATAATTAAATAGAAGTGATGATGTTAGATAGCCTCATTTCTTACCCAGTGAGTCTTGAGAAAACTTGTAACACTTCACTATTAAATATGATTTTGCTGAGTTTTTTTCCTTTATCAGATCAAGGAAGTTCCCTTTTATTGCTTGTTTTTAGTGGATATTGAATTTTATAAAATACTTTTTTCCATCTGCTGACATGGTATATGAGTTAAAAATTTTTTTTTTTCTTCCACTTCTGTTAATGTGGTGAATTACACTGACTGGGGTTTTCAATTGTTAAACCAACATGTCATTGCTGGAATAAGCCTAATTTCTGGGCTATCATTCTTTTTATAT